ACGAGCGATGCGATACGACGCTTCCACCGATAATGCAAGATCCGAGAAGGATCAATGTATGTTTACATAAAAAGTTATTTTCAAGAACAGCCTACTTTTATTTCCAAGCCATGTTTCATCCCTAAGAGTGCCATTTCCTGTCCACAGCATATATGTGTATATAGTACACACCTAAGAGAATGATAAGCAGAGGATGAGAATAAGCCAAGGTGGAAAGCAGGTGAAGCTGTGGACTCAGATCATAATACATGAATAAAGATATATAGTATCCTGCAAGTTGGGTATGTTTAAGAGCATCAAGAGTGTTAAATTAATCCAAATGCAGGCATCAAAGAAATGAGTGGTGAGGCAGATGTTCATCAACCCAGTGGACGCATCAGAGACTTCTTCTCATGAGCATGCCTTCCATGTCGATAATATGAAAGGAGGAGGAGGAGGAGAATATGGTCATCGTCTTAGCGGACCTAATCATCGTATGCTGCTGGTTGGGGAGCCCACATTACCCCATAAGAGGGAAGGAATTGGGTAGTCAGTCTCTCATTCGAACCTTGAAAGGTGTCGTCTTCCAGCTCGTGATGCCTGCCGCTGCTGCCTTTTGCTTTCTGATGTTTCGCCATTCCTGAAACAAACAATAATTGCACAACTCACAAGTGATTCAGACGCGGCTCAGCTGACTTGTCATCATGGATGATGGCCACCAAAAGCTGGCACGCAAATGGTGCCACCATCTCACATCATCGAATACATATATATATATATATATATATGAGTTATATTCGGCAATTGATATCATAATTATCCATAGTTAATCGGGTCATGATACGTGGATCCTCAAGTTGGAATCAATGATCTATCAAATCAGAATATTTTCTTGTTAAGGTACTTAATCCGTTATATAATGAATGCTAAAAAAGATAGTTATTCTAAATGCCTTCTTATTCTGAACTTTTAATGCTCATTTTTAGCTCAAGCACGAGCTTCTTGGACCTTTTGGATTTTACCTCGTTCCTAAATTAACTTTTTCCTAATTCAATTCAAAATTATAAATTAGGTTGAGTCAATTGCACCACAATCATTTGATGATCGAAATTGATATTAACACAATTTTAATTTAAAATTTTATCAAAACTCTCATCCAATGAGAGAATTTCATTTTTCTTAAAAAAATATTTATATTTTAGATTTTTTTCAAACAACATCTTTATTTTTTTCTAAACAATACTCTTTAATTCAAAAAGTACCCAAATTATTCCTTTTTCCGTCACCATCACCTTCACTTTTGTTATCATCTGGATCGTCGCTCATTTTTTTCTCTTTCTCCTCCTCTTCTCTCATCACGCGTCTTTACCCATTGTCTACTCTCTTCTCCCCTCCTTCCGTATCGTTCACCCTCTCATCCTCCCCCTTTGTTTTCTGTTGTCCACCCTCTCCTCATCATCTCCTCTTCCCCTCCATTCCTCTCCACTAATGATAAGATCTCACAAAGAGAGTTACGGATGGAGGCAATGGAGACAACACTATCAAACAACATAATTAATAAGCGATGATGTAGGTAACAATGACGATGGAGGAGGAGATAGTTTTTTTTTTTAATTAAAGATACCATTTGAGAAAAATCAAAAGGGACTATGTTATTTAAATGATATTCAAAATATTAATATTTTCTAAAAAAAATCATCTAATATAATTTAAAAAAATATTTAATAATTTTATATATGATTGTATATGTTCGAGTACGCATATATATCCATGTCAAATTATTGATAATGCAACCCATGTCATTGATTATTTTTGGGTTAAAATTTATTTTAGCTGTTATGGTTTTGATAATGGACTTTTTAAGCCCTTATAATTTACTCGTGTCTAAAATAATCTTTACATTTTTAAAAACATAGTATATAAGCCACTCCCATGAAGTATGAGTTAAAAGACATTAGAGTATGCTTACATGATATGCTGATTCATAATAAATTATTAATATAATGATACATATAATTTAGGATTAAGGTCAATTTTAGCTCCTATAGTTTTGACTATGAACCTCTTAAGTCTTTATAATTTACTCATATCTAAGATAATCCTTGCATTTTCAAAAAAAATAGCATATAAGTTTCCCTTGTCAAATTTGAGTTAAAAGACATTAGAGTCTGCTTATGTGACGTGCTAACTCATAATAAACCATTAATAGAATGATACATGTAATTTGGGGTTAAGGTCCATTTTAGCATTTGTAGTTTTGGTCATGGACCTCTTAAGCTCTTATGGTTTCGTCGTATCTAAAATAATCCTTATATTTTTAAAAAACATATCATATAAAGTTTGAGTTAATAGATGTTAGAGTCTACTTGCATAACATACTAACTCACAATAAATTATTAATATAATGACACATGTAATTTCAGTTTTAAGAAAAGAACTAAAACCTCCATCAATAGCGAAAAGAAGCATCGTCATAGAAGCAATCACTAGTAGTAGCACCAAGCCACTACTGCCTAGCAGGATGTTATACGCATGTAGCCTCTCCCACGTTGACGACCAGCTCAGGAGCTTTCAGTCTTGTCTCAGGTGGATGTGCGTCGACTAGTCTAACGCTATACATATAGTGGTCTCTTGATCCCTCTAAAAGAAATAATAATAATAATTTAGATCACATAATAAATATAAAACTTTCATGATTGATTACCCAAACATACTGATGAAGCCTAAGCTTATCGATCACTATAATCTTCGCCATATGATCTTGAGCTACCAAGGTTTTTATGTAAATTAGGATTTTAAATCCTAACAAAGCTATTAAATGAAGGGAGACACCGATAGAAAACAAGAAGCATTATATATATATATATATATATATATATATATATATATATATATATATATATATATATATATATATATATATATATATAATACAACATAAAAATGAGCAAAACACATAAAAATGAGCAAAAGTATACTTTTAATGTAACTTTAATTTGAAAAGAGAAAAAATAGAGATTGGGATGTGCTTTATAACATTGATAACTTTAAAAGGGAATTCAATTTCCGACACACAAATCGAAAACAAAGGGAAGATCGTTTGATCTTTGTTTCATGTATTTACAACTTTTTGAGAGAATCGAGGCCAATCATTTTTCTTTTTCTTTTCCTTTTTCTGCTTTATCTTTGATTAGTAGCCTTCATAAGTGCTCATATAGTTTAAATGATTTTGTCTATGTGACTTGAGATCTTTAAAACTATTTCAAGGGTGCAACAAAGCAATCTGCCCCATTATTTATCTCTCTAAAGCACATGTACCATAAATAAAAGTATACACTTATGCACTCATATGCACTGTGTTATGATGGTCACTCCATTAATGCAACTACTTGCTCTATCTTCTCCATCGTCATGCTCACTCATTTGATGCCTCAGAGAGATAGGATCATAATTGAAGGTAGGTGGCATGAGCATATGAGGAAGTAGTGGTTGCACACTGAGTGCATTGTGTAGATGAGTAGAATACTTGAAATCTTTTACTATTTAAGTAGTCAACTAAATTTTTGGCTTTCCATAAAAATGATTTTTCAACAAGCAAAACATCACCAACAATTAATACGGGTTAATAGGTTTAAATTGCGGAACTATATATATATATATATATATATATATATATATATATATATATATATATATATATATATATGATTCATTTTAATTCATTTTTTAACTTTCTCATAATCAATTCTTTTTATTAACAGTCAAAATATTTGAAAGACGAATTTAAATTATCATCAGGCTCTTTGAGAATGTTGAAAATTCATTCTGAGCATAACTTTGTTGATTTTCTCGTATCAATCATTTTCATTCCGCTCGTTAGTTTATTCGTGGTACTCGTATCTATCGTCTTAATAATTATTGTTTCCATAAATCATGTTAATCTGCTGACCCATAGTGGCTTGATCCTTCAACAACTCTAAGTATTTTTTACTGGCATAGATTATCTTTGAACCTTATTTATATTTGTTAAACACTATGTGATATAGAAAACTGAAATAAATATCAAGGTATTTTATAAATTTTGCCACTGTTAGTAACTTTAGTGTAAGAGAAAAGATCACACAAATAAAAAAAATTAGTATAGACAAAGCCTTACTTGTCCCCACAATTTGTCATGTTCAATCCAATATACATGTTATTAGGAGGAAAATAACAAAAACACACAAGAGTTTGATGCAAAATCCACACATTAAGACAACTAAGCTTTTTCTTTCTTTCTTTCTTTCTTTGTGTCTGAATTGTTACTTTTGTCATAGTTTAGCTCCATCAGACTCTTCTTTTGCTAAGTGCCATAAAAGCTGATGCTTGAAGTCAAAACTAAGCTGCAACTTGTGACTGGCTTGCCCACTATTTTACTGCTCCAATTCAATGATACCTACTGATGACACCCATAAACTACAGCAACCAAATACAGAAGTCCACAGCAACACATCATGTAGCCCTCTCCCCAAATGATTCATCTTCAATAACATTTCTTTTTCTTCCCCCATCTAAATCCATTATAAAAACTCTTGTTTATTCAATAGTTTGCATTTTTTTACTGTGTTTCTGTTTACATAATTTAGCTTTCTTTTATAGGTATGGATATTCAAGTTATTATGTTAAGAAAGCAAGAAAAGTGTTTCTTGATTCCTTCATTTCACTTCAATAACATTTCCCTGTTTCACCTAAATCCATTACCAAAACACTATTTCATTCACTAAGTTGCATTTTACTGTTCTTCAGTTTGCATAAAATAGCTTTCTTTTATAGGTACAGATATTTAAGCTATTTTTGTAAAGAAAGCAAGAAAAGTGTTTCTTGTGCTTGTTTCAGAAAACAAAAGAGAGAATGTGGGGAATGATTCCTTCAGTTTATCCTACATCTCACAGTTGCAATATTATATATATATATATATATATATATATAATATTTATTTTTAAACAAAGGAAAATTCTAAGCATCCAAAGAGCAATAAGAAGGGAACAACTCCTCACTCCTCTCAACAGTAGAGGGCAGCCTTTGCTTACCCTTTCCACTGAGAGGGAGAGAGAGAGAGAGAGAAGAAGAAGAAAGGAGCCACCTTTCTCCTTTAATTTGAAATCAGACACAGGGGAGTCAGCAGAGATAGAGGAGAGATGGTGAGCACACTGTTTCCTACAGCTTTCTGCTTCTTCTTCTTCTTCTTCTTCGTCTGCTCTCCTCTATTCCTATTCTTCTGCAATGCATCTGCTGCTCTTCTGGAGAGCCTCCCGACTCTCTCGTTCGAGGAGGGGTACGCCCAGCTGTTCGGTGGTGGCAATTTGATCCTACTCCGCGATGGGAAGAGGGTTCGCATCTCCCTCGACGAGCGAACAGGTCTTCCTCCCTCTGCTTCCCTTCAAAATCTCACCTTTTGATCTTTTTCCATCATCTAACAAGGTATAGTGTGTTCGATTTCTGAACGCCTCAGGTGCCGGATTCACCTCCCAAGACCTCTATCTCCAGGGATTCTTCAGCGCCTCCATCAAGCTCCCTGCGGACTACGCCGCCGGCGTCGTCGTTGCCTTCTACGTATGCTTTCCATACTACACCTCTCTGTATAATTATTTTGGCATGTCTCATCTTGTTTCTCTTGAACTGTAGATGTCGAATGGGGATGTATTCCCGAAGACCCACGACGAACTGGACTTCGAGTTCTTGGGAAATATAAGGGGGAGGGAGTGGAGAGTTCAGACCAACGTCTATGGAAACGGGAGCACAGCGGTCGGAAGAGAAGAGCGATACGAGCTCTGGTTTGACCCCACCGAGGATTTCCATCGCTACTCCATCCTTTGGAATCACGAAAGAATCACGTAAGAGTTGCAAGAATCCTGACGAAAATTCTGCGACAATCCCTTCGGAAACATACGTGGATTTCTTGAACTCAATGGTTATGTTGTGCAGATTCTACATTGATGACATCCCGATCAGGGAAACAGTGAGGAGTGAGGCCATGGCGGGGTGCTTCCCCTCCAAGCCAATGTCTTTGTATTCCACCATATGGGATGGCTCCGGTTGGGCTACTTCCGGCGGCCGCTACAAGGTCAACTACAGATACGCCCCTTACGTCGCTGAGTTCCAAGATTTTGTCATCCATGGCTGTGCAGTGAACCCCATGGATCATTCTTCGGCTTGCGAGAGGCCTGATGCGGCCATCTACGGCTCTTCGACCATGTCACCGGAGCAACGAGCTCAAATGGATGGTTTTCGCCGGAGACACATGACCTATTATTACTGCTACGATCGTGATCGATACCCAACCCCTCCAGCTGAGTGCAAGATCGATCAGATTGAGACGAGGCAGTACTACGGACCGGATGGTGTGAGATACGGTGGTCATCGGCGCCGCCGCGGGGGGCCCCGGCACAACCGTAGCTCGGTGGCACAGGCTGATGCTGCATTATAAGTTCTAGTGCTTCCTCTGCTTAGAGTGAATGGAATTTGTGCTGTATAGTGTGAACTATCATGTAGAGAATTTTAGATCAGAAATTGCCAGTGGTATTTCATGTTCGGCCTCTGTTATTGCTGCCCACTGTAGCTTTGGTGCCATTGCCTTCTTGTTGAATTATCTCATTTATTCCTGGCTTATTGATTCAAGAAGTAATGCTGTCACAAATATTGTCGATTTCAATATGATCAACACCATGGATTTGAACATCACACACAATATTAATTAAAAACATTTCTCATATCATTTACTTTCTGGACAATTTGAGCATCACAGATCACAACTATTTTGAATCAAACTCAATCCAAATGGATAAACACCTTGGATTTGAATCACAACTATTTGAGCATCACATGATCAACACCATGGACTTGAGCATCACACATAATATTAATAAAAAACATTCTCATATCATTTACTTTCTGGATAATTTGAGTATCACAGATAACAACTATTTTGAATCAAATTCAATCCAAATGGATAAAAGTCTATGTCAACATGTTTCCATCACTGGAACTGTTTCTGAAAAATAACAAAATGTTGATGAGTTCAAGAACATGGACTGCTAACACTATGGTGGTTCTCCCAGCCACTGGAACATGGTCTTCGTCGTTTTCTTCTGGTTCAATAGATTCTGTATGGACTGAGCAGGGAAGGATGTGGGCCTCTGGCTGGGTATTATGCTGGAGAAAAGAGAGGAATGAAACAACAGATTTGGTTGCTTCTCAACATGAAGATGAGTTGGCTGAGATTCTTCTGCATGTGGTTGAACTGCACTTGGTGTTTTGATGTTCTCACCAAGGTCACTCAAATAGAGCTTGTGGTATGAAGTGCAATAATCACAAGCTAATAACAATAGAATATGGATGGGTACAGTATGTACCGATCGGTATTTACCACTCCAAGGTCGATATTATATTTTTAGGATGATATACCGATATCGTACCAGTCCGGTAAAAATGAAAATAACTATGCTAGATGAAATGTTGCACAAAGAATAATGTCCTTGAGAGATTACCAAGTTCCAAATTCTGAAAGATACAGCCAAAGAAAAAGGTGAGAGTGTGATGCTGTTGGACCATCAAAGGAATCTGCAAGTTGTAATATCCCATGGTGAACATGTCTGGAGGGATAAACCTACAAGCAAACAAAATAATGATAAGAAATGAATAAATGGCTTACTAGCAGGAGATATTCAAATTGGAAAAAATAAACCGCATGCTTTCCATATGAACTTCAACTATAACTTTAATTTTATAAGTCATGTTTTTATTTTCTTTGTGGACCTTTAACTCTAAATCTGATATCCAGATGAATTATGCTGTAGAGTGTCCCTCAACTTGATGAAATTGCTAACCATAATTTTGCCTTCAGTTGTCATTATGTTTTCATGGCGATAACATACTCAATACAACAAAAAGAGTAGAACTGATTAAGTCAAAAAATAAAAAAATATATATTACAATTGTTCAAGCTATGAAAGTAAAACTTATGTACAATGAATGGTTGGTTTGTCACAATCAATTATTTGAAGGGAAAGTGGTGATAAATAAGAACTGGCAATATCATCTATATTAAATATTATAAGTTCACTGGATAACTCGGGATCACATTTACACTGAGAGACATCTAAGACATTAGTTGCCATGTGTGACAAAGCAACTGGTATACCTAAAAGCAGTATTTGGAGAGATGGCATGATTCCCTTTGGCACAGCATATTGCCATGAAGATCAATAATAGTATTGGAGGACCCTGAACTCTGAACCGAATCATACTTAAAGAAGGATAATCAAGCCTGCGATGGAAGAAAATTGTGTTTCTTCAAATCACATGGCATCTAGACATTAAAGAAAAAAATATATTATGCAAAAGAATAGATGTCAATTTTAAAGCTGTTGTGAACCAAAAGAAAATAGTTGCAATGAAATGCTGAAGGAGATGCGTACAAGGACCAAAATGTAATTGAGAAGGCAAAAGTACCCTAATGCACTTTCATAACTTGCATAAAAGGATGTAATGTCTCAACTACTTAGGCACGGACATGTAGATCATTTTCCTAGCGTTAAGCTATAAGGCAATATCACTAGTAGACTAAGGCCAGTCAAATCTCTTTTTCTTAATTATGTTATTATTTTCTTAGTCTACTTATGCTTTTTGAATATAAACATATTTTGTACTTGAAAAGATACCAAGTTAACAAACAACATCGAGTCAGAGCATCTCCAAAAACCAAAATAAGTTGCTGCAGCACCTTTTTGCAACTAGCAGCATCCATCCTCTGTCCACGTGGTAAACTCAAGGATATAACTACATAATCCATCTTCTTGATAACAAGGCTGTGATGTCAACAGTCAGTGAAAGAGTTGCATGTCAAATTTGGAAACTTCAGCTGCATAAATTATATAAATTATGATGATTATGCAAGTAGAAAAAAGATTAGCAAAAAAGAGTCATAGACAGGCTTCTATCTTGACAGGTCTCAACAACTTTTTGGAAGCAAAAATATATTAGTCCTTGGAATTCTAAAAAACTACAAGCTAAAATCATGTGGGAATTAACTTTATTTCTAATTTGAAGAATGCTTATTTTCTAAATGTTCCCTAATTTTATCAGCGAAACAACCTTTGTTCTCTTGCAAAGTATAGCAGAACATGTTATTCTCATCATAGTGACAAACTGATACAGCGCATGGTGAGCATTGAATGCTCCCAAGTTCTGAGACAAGAAATTCCAAGCTCAACCCTATCAAATTTCAAGAAAATCATTCATATCTTGAAATAATTATGAAAATTCAAAATCACCAAAGTACAATGCACTATGAATTTTATATGTATTGTAATTTGTGCTTGACTTTTGGTAACTTGTGACCCATTAATTAAGTGGTTGAAGGACTCAATGTACAAAAGATCTATGAAAAGGGAAGGAAGGAAGATTGGTGGGGCATTCTAGTTTTTGAAACCCTATCAAGCTTTTGTATTTCGAGTTATTAGCTCCTAGTATCTCTTGAAATAGAAAAAGTTTTCTTTTGTCCTCCCATATTTCACTTCTTTTCTAACCATCTCATTCTCTCTTCATTTTTTGTTTCACATCATTTGGTATCAGAGCCATGCTATGCTCTTGGAATACTTCTTATAGCAATTAGAAGGGGCAAAGGCCAACACGGGGAAAAAATGATGCAACCAAATAAAGATGAAAAGGATGCACAAATTGTAACACTAAGGAGACAAGTTGAAGAGCTTACCTCAAACATCAAGAAACCCATGGCTCTAGAGGCTTAAGCTATGGTTCTGCAAGTGATGGATTCAAAGACATGAATCCCCTTGTCATCCAAAGAAGCTACAGGAGACTCCATGGAGAGGTTTTTTCATGCAAATGACAATATCAAGATTGACTTGTCGGAGTTTCATGGTTGACTTCAACCTAAAGAGTTTGTTGATTGCCTTAGTGTCATTGAAAAATTCTTTAAGTATAAAGAGATACCCGAAGACCGAAAAGTAAAATTAATTGCCACAAGGCTTCGAGGTTATGCTTCAATCTGATGGGAGAAGGTGCAAGAGATATGCCTTCGAAAAGGGAAAATAAATATTTTATATTGGAAGAAGACGAAATCTCAGCTCGATGAAAATTTTCTTCTATCTGATTATGTTCAAACTCTCTTTTCACAATTAACAATCTTTAGCAATGTAGCAAAACTGACATCAACTACACTGAAAATTCTATAAGTTGATGGCCCAAAAGAACACTTAAGAGACGAAAGAATAACTTGTTGCAAGATATGTCGACGGCCTACGAGTTATGATTCGAGAATAAATGGAGATGCAATGACTATGGAGGTTATATTATGCTTATCAATTAGCATTAAAATTTGAAATAAAACTTGCTAGAAGTGGAGCAATGAGTTATTGTGATGTTTATTTACATTCCTCTTTTAAAGTTGACTTTGCTCGTTATAATGCTAGTTGATCAAAAGCTAACGGAATCATGAAAAATGCATCCAAGCTAACTCCTACTGACCGTGGAGGACAATCTAAGTGCACTAGTCACCTTCCTACTTGCTTTAAATGCAAGCAAATAGGATATTGCATGAACGAGTATCTAAATAGACAAGTTGATGCACTAGTCAACTTTGCTGAAGAAGAAGATGCCAATGAACAACTTGAAGATATTGGAGAACCAATATATGATGAATACACCGAGGAGGCTTCTGAAGAAATTGCACTGGAAGAAGGCGAATGCTTGGTAATCCATAGAGCGCTTGCTACTCCAAGAGATGATTCTAATGAAGAATGATTACGAAATAATATTTTCAAAACACGCTGCAAGTCTCGAGGTAGAATTTGTTCTCTTCTTATTAATGGTGACAGTTGTGAGAACATTGTATCTAAAAATATGGTAGACAAGCTCAAGCTAAAGACAAAACCACATCCTAAGCCATATCGGATTGCATGGTTCAAGAAAGTTAATGAGGTACAAGTTACTAATTGATGTATTTTCTTTTATGGGCAAAAATTATAAAGATTATGTGTTGTGTGATATAGTACCAATGGATGTTAGTCATATACTCTTGGGAAGACCATGGTAATATGATAGGTGTGCTATCCATGATGGTAGCAAGAACACCTATACTTATAAATTTAATGGAGTTAGAATTGTGCTTTTGTCATACAAAAAAGAGTTTGCTCCCAAACCTTTAACTCAAAAGGCAGGAAAATAACTTTATTACTTTGAATAAGTTTACAAGAGAATGCGAAGAAAGTGAAGTTGTATTTATGTTAGTTGCTAAAGAAAGCATACAACCTATAGAAATTCCTCCTGAAGTAAAAGCTATTTTGGAGGAATTCGAAGACATTTGCTCTGAAAAACTTCCTAGTGGCCTGCCTCCTCTTCAAGACATTCAACATCGAATCGATCTAATTCCAGAAGCAATCTTACCAAACAAATCTCACTACCGGATGAGTCTAAAAGGATATGAAGAGTTGAATAAACAAGTTATGGATCTACTACACGAGGATTATATTAGAGAAAGCTTAAGCCCATTCACCGTTCCAGCTCTATTGACTCTAAAGAATGATGAAACTTTGTAGATGTGCATCGATAATCGAGCCATTAACAAGATTGCCATCAAGTATAGATTTCCTATTCCACGTGTGGATGATATGTTTTATATGCTTGTTGGTGCTCAGACTTTTTATAAAATTGATTTTCGAAGTTGTTATCACCAAATCTGTATTAAACCAAGAGATAAACGGAAAAGTGCTTTCAAGGCTTGAGAAGGTTTATATAAATGGCTAGTTATGCCATTTGGATTTTTAAATGCTCTGAGCATCTTCAAGCAGGTAATAAATAAAATTCTATGCCCTTATATTAGGAAGTTTGTTGTTATTTACTTTGATGATATTCTTATTTATAGTCGCAACAAACTTAATTATATTGAACATTTGAGAACTATCTTATCAACCTTAAAGGCAAAAAAGTTATATGTAAATCTTAAGAAGTGCTACTTCATAACCTCTGGCCTAGTTTTTTTGGGCTTCATATTAACCCCTACAGGTATCCAAGTGGATTCTAAGAAGATTAAAACTATCAAGACTTGGCCAACACCAACATCCATACAAGATGTTCAGAGTTTTCATGGGTTGGAATCCTTTTATCGTCAATTTATTTAGAATTTCAGCACTATTGCAGCTCCTCTAACTGATTGCATAAAGAAAGGTGTGTTTCAATGGACACCTGAGGCAAACAATAGTTTTGAACTACTAAACATGAAATTATCCACTGTGCCTGTTCTTACATTATCAGATTTTTCAAAAATAGTTGAAGTTGATTTTTGATGCCTCTCATGAAGGTATTGGTGGAGTACTTAGCCAAGAAGGACATCCACTTGCAATTTTTTAGTAAAAAGTTAAACAATACAAGAAGGAACTATTCAACCTATGATATCGAATTTTCTGCTATTGTTCAAGGCTTCAAGCACTGCGATATTCGAGACCTTAATTAATCCAAAGAGAATTTATCTTAAATTTTGATCATTAAACTATTAAACATATAAATTCTCAAGCAAATCTCAATAGACAACATGCAAGATAGGTGGCCCTTTTACAAGAGTATACTTTTGCCTTGAAGCATTCAGTCGACGACTAGCACTTCTTAATATTATACGTGCCCAACTAAAAGAATTTGATGCAATAAGAAATACTTACTCTAATGATGAAGATTTTGGTGAAACCAGTGCTCTCTAATTTCACATGGATGGATTTTCTGGCAAATTAGGCCAAATCATCCATTCTACTCTTGCTTGAGTGTATATTGACATTAAAATGCAAATTAATATTCCATACTTCTTGACTGTTCCACTCTATAAACATTTAAAGGGTTTTAGAATTTTCCTAATTAAAAATATAATCATTTTTACGTTCCACAACTTTTCTGCAAAATGCATATATATTGGAGATACATATGCACATAACAAACAACTCTTAAGTTTTTAGTTATGTTTGGCATTATGTGCATTTTCTATTTTCCTATTTTAACAATTAAATTGGGCAAAATACAAATAAAAAGTATGTTTAGTCACATAACTTTTGTTTTCTTGTTTTTAGAAATTGATACAGAATTTTGCAGATCTAGAAGTAAGAACTTTCCAGTTCTAAAATTTATAGAAACAGAAAGCATTCCATCGCTACTGTATGTTCCGAATTAGGGAAGGAAGTTGTCGAACAGAGATTCTTGGAATGCAAATCCTATCAGTGTATCCAAAAATTACAAGGGTCCTCTCAAAACCATCCATTGCACTCCCCTTTTAATCCCAACCGCCTATCTGATTTGATCAGATCAACTTTTTTAATGTTTTTCTTTTTGTTCCAAAGTCAAGAGGATCAAGATTTAAAAGTTCAAAGGTGCTTGCTGGCTTTCTAGGTAAAAACTTTGTCAAATCACTACATGATCTTGAGATCAAAACCCACCTTCACCATTTACCATTTGAAAAAAAGAAAGAAGATTTAAAAGGTGAAGTGAAGTGGACAATTTAGAACCGAACCTTCATCAGTTTCATTTGAGGTGTCTAGAATTTAGGGACTTTGCATTCTATTCATTGAGCAAAAAAAGTTATTAGGGTCGAAAAATGCATCCTACAACTATAAAAGCATGATATTAAACTTTGTTTATGTATTTAGATATACCAAAAATATAAACAACACCGGACGCAAGTGCATATAGAATGTTGCTCAATCCCCACTATTTAGAAAAAAAATAAAGAACTTCAGGCCCCATTGGGTGTGAAGAAGCTCTCTTGCTTAGGAACACATACACAAAATGACACAATGGAACAGCCAACAACAAGACCACCTATCAAAAAGAAAACAAGAACTATTTTTGCTACTCCAATTTGCACCCAATTTACATTTTACTACACATCTAAACCCCATGTACATAATGAACGATAATCGGTATCTCAAATAAAAATCCATAAAAGAATTAACAAATTTCATTAGAACAAAAAATGTAAAGAAAATTCCAAACTGAAAAACGGAGAAAATAGCAATCGGCTTCATTTCCTCGTTCAATATAGATAACCTGACAGAGTCTGTGGGTAAAGCTGACGACAACGAGCCTTTCCTCTCTCGCCTCCACACCCGCCTTCGTCGCTCCTCAGGATCATCGAGCGGAGCTTCCGAAGAGACGGACGGCCACGACCAAGCCCTGAACCACCCACGTCAAGATCAAATCAAGCAATCGAGAAACCCAATGGCCAAAACCAGCAAATGACCGAACAAAGGGAGGAAGCTACTCGTACCCAGAGATCTAGGGGCAAGGAGGGCCGAGGCGCGGGATCTCGAGAGGCGGCCAGAGCCTGTGGTGGTTCGGGTAGCGGAGGATTAAGAGTTCGGTTCGGAACCGGATCCTCTACTGTATGAGGAGACATGGTTGTACATGCGTCCGCACAGCGACCGAGACTGCTTTGCCACTAAATGGCTGTCTGTACCGTCGGGGACCACATTGTTGACCAATGGCAAGGCTGCTTCTTGTGTTTGCTCGCTCCGTAAGAGTATGATTCCTTCACTGTAGCCTCTTCGAGGAGAAAACAAATATAATGTGATGGCTAACACTGAGAAATAAAAGCTAAACACTATAAGTTTGCACTGAGAAATAATTATGCAATGTATAGAATTATTGGATTATTGTGGTTATTGAAGTAAAAATTATTTCTATTAATTTACTTTGGCTAAAAGATGATGCAGACCCATGACATGTCTCAAGATTGTTGAAAGCTAATGTAACTATCACTGATCCATTAATTCTCAAGAAAACCAAACTGTGATGAACTACAAACTATATAATTTAGTTGATCTATTAGTCAAATAAATTTTATTTCTTCAAGAATATTTTGCATATGTAATAAAGTTACAAGAAAAATAAATCAAATGCAGAAAAAAAAAGAGAAGAATTCATACTATTAAATATTATAAATTTTAATTAAATATCCTAAAAATTATCAATCAAGAATATCACCAAAAGAAAAAGATTGTTTCTTAAATCAAATAAAAAATATTAACTTCTTTAATGAAAAGAAAATATCATATATTTGATTTAAGTCTGTGACAAACTAAAATGTTGCAATTGATCAATCACAAACAGATTAAAAAGAATTTTCGCATCGAGTTAGAGCGATTCTGATAGTTATCCCTTGTCGCGTAGAGAAGTGATAAACAAATGAGTTCCAGAAGGAAGAAGGAAGAAATTGTTTGTTGGAAGCATGTTCTCAGAGGAAGATACACATCAATATCTTTCATTAATGTTGAGAAGGAACAGAAGAATTTGAGCAGGCCATTTGTGCTTGGTTTCTACTGAATAGTTCGTCCTTCCGAATCGAGCTTTCGGGTCCCAAAGCAAGCCATTCCATCTATTTGGATGTTCTTTCTGGATTCTATTCCTAGCTTGTGATCATTGTTTAAGATCTTCGGAGCTAGTAGTTCATGAGAAAGATACAGGCATAGCCGTCCAAACATATTCCATGAGAATAAGATGAACAAATGAAGACAAGAACAAGAAAAATCCATGTGAATCAAACAAGTTTTGATTCATGTCATCGGTATATATGCTTCTATTAAATCTTTGAAGTCCTTATCTACAATGCTATTCCTAAGTTCTTATTGCTCCCTGACCTTGTCCTCTAGATGTCCACATCCTCTAGATGTTCACTTACCAGTTAAATGCAAAGACTTCTGACGAAGGCATACTAATCTGTAGTACTACACCCCATCATAAGAGTCATAAAAGAAACCATATAATCAAACACTTGTGATAAGCTTAAGAGCATTAGCATGCAAATTTTGAGTGAAAAATTCAATTACATGTTTGAATTGCAGATTTTATTTATTTATTTTCTAAAAGAAGAAAACTAAACTTTACTTAAAGCAACTAAAATAAATACAACCATTCGCGCCGGCGGCGCGAATCAAAACATTGAGGTCCACTCATGCCAATTATGATCAAGATTTTAGCATTATATGAACTTGTAGGACGTAATAGTCGGGACCAACATCTTCTAATGTAGGATATGTGTGGACATACACATCAAAGGGATAGATACAGGCACAAAAGAACCTTAAGAACTTGTGGTCCTTCCCTACTTTATTCTAATTATTCTATGTGTGCAAAAAGTCATATGCAAGGAACATATTTGAGTTGTTGTCTTATGCCTTTGCAAACGCCAAGCCTTTGTCACTCCATGATTCCATATGTTTGTGATGGAAATCAACTGCCCACATCAAACATAGACTAATTAGGATAATGTGGGTCAAGCATATCGAGGTATACAAATATGTAAGTGGCCAAATAAAATAGGTCGACAAGGTTTCTTCTTTCTTAAACATGACAAAATTAAGCTTTATGTCTGTGTGGATTTTATATCCATTGCTCGAATCTCAAGTTTTTGACGTTATACTTCTTGTATTTGACTATTTATTTTATTATTTGATTGTCGAGATAAAACAAAACACATTTCATACACATAAAAGATTTCTCGATGAATTGCCAAGAAAAAACATAAAAAAAAGACCCAAGAGAGGAAGACAATATAGGGTGTTGCTTATCATACGGCCATCATGACTTCCTCTTTGTCAGAAAAAGAAATAAAGTAAAAAGGTGTATACACAGTTAAATCATAAAGCAATGGATTACAAAATCATTTACACGTTCCTTCCTCTCTCTTTCTCTCCATCTTTCACTCTTCTGTCCTCTCTGTCTCTCTCTCTGTCTGACAATGAGGAGTAATAATAGAACAAGGGTGGAGTACTGCTATCTTGCTATCTGTCCATGTCTGATTCCCCATTTAATGCTCTTGCTCTTGCTAACCTTCTTCCTGTTGGGTTCTTCTTGGGCTACGTTATTCTAGTTCTGTAGAATCCTGCTATTTCTTTCGCTTGAACATTTAAGTTGGTGCTTTCTTTGACAACCTTCTGAGAAATCTTCACAAGATGGAGATAGTCATTTTTGGCACTTGGCGTTACTTGTTTTGAGGGAGAGTTGTTGTCGTTGGGATTGGGAAAGAGATGCTAATCCTTCCTTCCTTCCTTTTTCATCTTCCCTCTTTCTTGGGAAGAGTTGACAAGACAAATGCTACCATTGAAGTCCTCCATTTAATTATCTACTCACTTCCCATCACTGCTTGCCTTTCTTTGGTCGAACAAAAGGTCTCATCTTTTAAGCATTAAGCTCTCCTTCTTCCCTTCCACTGCTAACTACTGACACACACACATATATATATATATATCAATGTATCTCCTTATGAATAAATTGCTTAGGATGGACATGATTTTTCGGGGACTCCACCTAAATGATACCATCATGCGGATGGCATTTGATCCAGCCAAGACAATGTTTGGTCTGCTTCTTCTACCTGAGGTTGTGCAGTGACTCACGGAGAAAGTAACACACCATGTTTACTGGGTCGTTCGAAAGCCTAGCAGTTCTATGAGTACGTTGGCTTAAGTGCTTGGACGCAGATCCAGTCCCTTCGAGCTGAGGGAGATCAAGGACTACTACAGTTGAGTGATATCCATCCTGGGGGAACTTTACATGGCCAAAAGAAAAAGGAACAGTTCCGGATTGTCATCGTAGTACGAGCAATGGTAAGTTACTGTTGCTTACATGTGATGGATCGCCATCAATCAACTCTCGAGGACCCATTTGATCGTTGCGTTATGACTTGTCTACGCTGGCATGCATGAGGCCACGGGAAGGAGTTAGATGGACAAGTCAAAGCAAAGGAAGAAGACAACGGACTTCCGGGCGGTGTATAATGCACCCCAACCCAACATTCCACATCCTACGTGAACAAGACGATCAACGTATAACCAGTGAGCATAACTATTCTCTTGGCTGTACACAGACTTCTGTGACAGGTACAGTCTCTAGGGTTTTGGAACCTCTCTCGAGGCTTTTCCTAGCTAACACACTGTTGCTGGCTTCTCTCTCCTCATGCTCGATCGATCAAGCAAGCAGAAGGAGAAGGTGTGCAGGTTCTTCTGTCGCTCGGAGAATGACATGCGTTAAAATCAATTATTCCTCAAGATAAGAGCGAAAGAAGGCTGCAAGCGTTCCACATTTCCTCTTCACTGTAGCTGACGGTAGCAGACAACCATTTGCCGACAGCATTTCCCCCACCATCTTGTGTGATGTCCATTCAGATTTTTAAGTGGCCGTAATATTCAGTGATACAGCCATGGGGTCGGTCAACATATATGACAATTTAGGCTCGGACATGTGCACATTCGTTAATGGAGTTTAATTACCTCAGCCTACATTTGAGCTGCAAAGAGAGAGATGACATGCATGTGTATATCTAGCGAGGAAGGATAGAGAAAGAGAGAGAGAGAGAGAGAGAGAGAGGATGAGGCAAAAGTATGACATTTATGATGTAGGCAGTGGGTGTCAGTCCAAATATAACTGCGAGATACCTTCCGATGGACAATGCAATTATTTATTGATGATAGCTTCCGTCATTCACTTTGTTTCCATTCCCTTGTCCCACTCCCTCAGACCCCTCTCTCTCTGGGGCATATATAGATGTACACAACTATTTAGAAGCAGTACAAATCCCTGTTCCTTAATGGCACCACCATTTTTTTTTGGGGACAATGCACAGTGTGCTTGGGAAATAGTAACAAGGTCGCTAGGCATTAAATGAGGGGTAATAAATGACTTGGAGTCTGTAAAAGAAACATTATTGTTCCCATTGACTTAGAAGAAAGAGGTTATCTGGGAAAGGTAACACATGTCACAGAAACTGTATCCTTTCCTTTGTGCTGTGTACATGACAGTAGACGAGTCAACATGGGAAGCATAAATGAAGCTTGAACAAGAATTCTTCTCTTTATAGTTTATTTCACACCAAAGAAACAGATCCAGTCGTTCCAATGCAATCTAAATCCAAATCTGGATATTATCCTGATACTCAAATGTGGACTCGAATTCAAAAATGCCGGCGATCTGTAAGAATCCGACACTTGAAGCAGTCTCACAAGTCTATCATCCAAGCTACACTATACTAGTGTAAAACCTATACGAAGAAAAGGCTGTTGTTAAGATGATCAAAGTAACTTATTTCCATTGAATTAGGCACAGTAATTTATTTCCTTGTAACTCCACAAATCAGACTTTAGAGTTAGATATTTCACTTCCTCTCTAAAACCCTCCATCGAGTCTCTTGAATCGTCTGAGATGGAAATTTACTCGAATTCAATCTATTTCTTTTTCAAATTGATCGTAGAAAAATTCATCA